AAAACGTGAATAGGCGCGATGTTCACGATGCTGTATCTTCCTCAATTTTTAAGCAAACCTAACATATATATACACCATTTTCTTCCAAATTATGTCAGCTATTCAAAACATTAGCTAAATCCGGGACTTTTCCTCATCCGTAGCCGCTATATCAAAAAAACCGCAAAAAAAGGCCTTTTTAGGCCATTTTTTCAAGATAGCGGAAAATGCTCACCAGATACGCGTGCGGAAACTTCAGATTCGGATTCAGCGACCCAAAAAACATAAAGTAGGCCAAAAAAATCGCTGTGTACCCAAAATTCCAGGTAGACTTACCAGGCGCCTGGACTATGGCTTATAAACCTATTAGAGGTAAATATGGAACACCACTAATAGTAGTACCTCTACATATAATAATAGCACATATACCTTAGTTATGGTACGGGGTACCTTAATTAGGTACAGAGACCTTAGTATGGTTCACAGACCGAGAATCATTAGTTTCTTTACGACTATTATAGGTGTTCCATATTTACCTCTAATAGGTTTATAAACCATAGTTTTTTCTCAGTGTAGGAAGTAACTGGCGGGCTCCTTCCGAATCTTTGAGAGCTTGTAAAAAAATTACTAGTGTTTCGAACTTTTAGGTTGATTGATTTTCGTCATCGTCTGTATTTTCTAATTGTAAATCCTAGAGATGAACAGGCTTCGTTTTTGAACGTAGTACAGGAGCGTCGGTACTTCCTGCATTCCCATATGATTTTCTCATCAATTTCCGACTCGCGATTATACACAGTTTTTATGCACTATAGTAAGTCACAATTTTTCTTCTTTCAAACTTCACGGGCCTCTAGAGGGCCTGGTTGGATTAATAGCTGAGATAAAGAATTGAAAATAGGGATAATAAAAAAAAAAAATCGCCCAGGGGGACCTGGGGTGCTATAGCACCCCAAGCCTTTGAAAAAAGGTCCATTCTGATTCATGACACGAAATCCCGTTTTCGCCTGGCGGTTAGATTCACATATCTTTCTTGCATTGACACAAGTAAACTGAGGAGCAAATACTCATCAGGATTAAAGGGGTTGGCTACAACATCTTTGATATGTCTCAATGGCAGCTCCAGGGTATGCTGTTGTTGGACTAGCTGTTGTTCCTGTTGCTCCAGTAACTGTTGTTGTTGTTGCTGCTAAAACATCTGCTGCTCTCGAATTTGTTGCAGCGGTGCATTCATGTGTTGCTGGTTTTGATTGGCCATTTTAATACCTGCACTGAAAAAAAAGGCGTACTACTTTTAAGTAAACGCGTTGTCGCGGATTTTTTACTGCTTCGAAGGCGGGTCCGCCTTGGAAGGGAACACCGGATTTCTCAATGTAGCCATTCAGAATGGTCTTGGAACGAGAAAGGCCTATTTTGTTGAATTAAATCAACGGCATTTTAAAATAAGCGATCGTGTACTTGAATGAAGAAACTTGTTTCTTGAAATTAATAAACGGGGACAACGCCCTCAGAGCACCTTCGTTTCCTTTTAATCGTACTTCATACATACATAATAAATGAGAAACAACTTAATCAGCCAAAATACACATAATAAAAGAACAACTTAATTTGGGGAAAAGGCCACATATGAAGAACAAAGAATAAACAAAACCCAGAACGTTTCAAAATAGTTATAATTTCATTTTCAACCGGAAAAAAATTAAAAATAAAAACGAGCCGTCGCTACGCTGTTATTGCGAGACCGAGACATACATAATAAATACATAATAAATTTCCATTAAATAAAACTGTAACCTTTGGTTTATATGCATGAGTAGCACAGACAACGAAATTACTTCTTTTTAAAAATTCAAAATTTCCTTCAAGTAATAGCTTTTACTGAGATCAAAAAACGAGGATATCAAGGGTGCAAATTTCGATAAAATACATGGATGCATTCAAAAGTGGCCTATGCTGCGAAGGAGCTGTTCTACCTCGCTGGGGTACATTCGTTTCAATTGACCTGATTCGAAATGCAGCCTGAATTGTTTCACACGCCTTTTGCCCTCATTTCGTCGGAAGTATTCTCTTATTAGCCTTACTTCGTGCGGGGTGATTATCTCGAAGTTCTGATCTTGTGGAGGCTCCTCAGGCTCCGGTGTAGTCAAATCTACCACTGGCCCTTCTACTGTATGTGCCGGGGTTGGTGGAGGAGACATGTAACTAAAATTGAAGGAAGGCCTAGATGGATATTTGAAAGCTGCGGGCCTGTAAAGTTCTGTAGTTCCGGCGGAGAGGGGGACGCTACCCAGGCTCGTCCTCGGAGGCCCCCGAGGAAGAGGGCCCCACAATTTTTACTTTTATTTTCTGTCTTTGCCCTCGTCCTCGGAACCCCCGAGGAAGAGGGCCCCAGAATTGTTTTTATTAATTTTAAGACTCTGTAATCTAAGGGTTAATTAGTTTTCGACGACTGGGACCCTCGAGTCGGGCGCCTCCACTGTCACGAGTTATTTCAGTGAAATTTTTTGACTTGAAATAAAACTTACGTGCTCTCAAAATTACGTTTTAGGTCGAATATTGTATCAATCCAAACCTCTAAAAGTTAACCATTTTACAAGCGGCCGGGAGGATAAAATTGCATTCTCGGTATGTAAAAGATCCAAAAATTTTTCGGGGGGCTACCGATCCTCGGACCCCCTATCTTTCCTGGGGGGAGCCCCCCCCCCCCCCCCCCCCCCGCGGGGGCCCTCAAGATGCGTCGCCGCGGCCTAACTTTTTTCACGCCAGTCCGAGCCTGACGCCACCTTTGCCAATAGCCGGTCTTTAATGGCAATTCTGAGTTTTTTGGCCTACGTTACCCTCGTAAGGCTGAATGGGTGCCCTACGAACTAATGCCTCTGCATACACGAGTACAAAGGCGCCGCAGTCACTCAGATTTTCCTGTTGAGGCACAGACGCTGAATATGTGCTCCACGCGGACTCTGGTGCCAACCGTGTGCAGAAATCCCGCATTAAAGAGAGTGACATGTTGGCCGTCTTATCATCATAAATTGAGTCCATGCAGATGATTATCCTGCTCCGAAAATCGGCGCATACTGGATACCAGTGTTGCCTTGTCGGGCAATGAACTGGGACAAAAAGCAAATCAGGGCGCCTGCCTAATTTTCTGAGATAAATATAAACAATAGAGGAACACCAGAAATCAGCCAGGCAATTAGAAAAATGACAACATTGCAACAGGATAACTAGAGACTCAAAACGAGGAACTATACTGCACAACTGGAAACTTGGATCTACAAATGCAAAAGGCTTGATCCGATAGAAAATATTTAAAAACTTGATAAACTTGAATCTACAAATTCCAAAACTTGATCCAATAGAAAAGATTTAACACTTGATAAACTTGCATCTACAAATTCAAAAGGCTTGATCCAATAGAAAAAATTTAAAACTTGATAAACTTGGATCAACAAATTCAACAGTACAGAAACAGTAAATGAATGTGTTCGTAACCACGCTCTGCTACCATTTGCGACCTTTATTTAATAAACCTTCTAATATCACCTTCTTGTAACTATGAGGCGAAAAAAAAAATATATCTGCTAAAATTATGTTTGTAATTTGGTCGGTCTGAGCTTGCCTTTGGAGAAGTGACACATACGCATTAATTAGTGTGTCATCCAACCAAGCCCCTAGCATCAGTTTAGACATATTCTCGTGTGAGGGCTCCGTTATAAGAAGTTACAAAGTCAGAATACTGAAGAATAGAAAATTTAAGTAGCGGTCTTAACAAAGAGAAATGGACTAGACAGTTTTAGCAGGATAATAATACAGACGTAAAAAAAAATTAAAACAAATCTTCTGAAAAAATGCGAAAAAGACAACTATGACTGTTGCGAGTTTGTTGCACTTCCATAATCCACATGTTCTGTGATTATTAGGATTAGGCTGTAGGCGCAGTGGAATTCTCTTCGGATCACGGTGTCTCGAGCTCAACACACTGAAAAAAAAGTTTCTAATATTAAATATTAAATTTTGATCACAGATTTTTCGAGAAAACGCTACATGAAAGGAACTATAATTTTGGTACAAGTTTTAAAATACACTATACATTATGAAGAGAACTCCTCTTCTGATTCAATGTCAGAGGCGTCGATGACTTCTGGTATTGCCGGTTTGGGTTGCGCCTTTTCTGACTCCATGTCAGACACCTGAATTATTTCCGGTTGTGCCGGTTTGGGTTGCGCCTTTTCCGACTCCATGTCAGACACCTGAATTGTTTCCGGTTTTGCCGGTTTGGGTTGCGAAAGTCTTTTTCTTGCGAAGAATTCGCAAGCTCGTTTTTGCGACCTTTTTGTTTTCCTCGCGCTCTGTTTTTTCACTCAGGTCCTATTTTTTTTGTTTTTTTTTTTATTCATAGAAAATATATATAACATTCAGTATACAAATATTCAAAAGTAAAGTTGCACTTGAGAACTCAAGTATGTGAATAGCTAAATAATGAAATATTAATTATATCTTAATCATAAAATCAATAGAGAGTATAAAATCATAAACATTTCGGTCCATATGAAGTCTCAAGTCTAATAAATTGATGGGTTAATTAGTCAATACGAATAATTATTCATAATATTAACCTAACTATTTTCTATGAAACCGGTACCGGCCGTAGCCACTTCATCGGTTACCCAGGCCCGATTGGGTTTCGTTCTTTGCCGGTGGGTACTCGAGCGTGAAACTTCGTGAAACGCATGAGATGCTGCATCCGGAGGTGGCTCGTCATCCTCAGAAAAGGCCGCTTCAGACCCTGTGGGGACCTCGAGGGGCAGCCTGGGGCCCTTCTCCACCATGGGTGGAGGTGATGCTGGCGAGCTCAATGCGCAACGAGGAGCCTAGTTTGAGGCGATCTGGCAGCACGATTTGTACCCGCCTAGATACAGCCTCCATACACATCAACATTAAAGGGCCACAATCTACGGAGTTTTTCTGCCGCGGGCAGACACCAGCATAGCAGTTCCAATGGTCTATTTCAAAAGTATTCGGGAAACAAGTTGATATGAAACCTAGCATACACTCTAAAATGTACTGCGCATCTTTGTCGCAATACCTGCTGTCAAACCCAATTAATTATCACATGGTTCTATAGATCTACTACAGATAATGCCCAATGGTTATAGTGGACATATCAAGGCACTAAAATCAGGTCCGTAGAGCGCAATTGGGTGTCTTTAAGGAATTTGGAGGCAACCTCCGCGCCCGTCGTCCCTATGGAAGGTTTCGTTCTTTTTCATTGGGTTTCGGTGGGTACTCGAGCGTGAATCTTCGTGAAACGCATGAGATGGTGCATCCGGAAGTGGCTCGTCATCCTCAGAAAAGGACGCTTCAGACCCTGTGGGGACCTCGAAGGACAGCCTGGGGCCCTTCTCCACCATAGGTGGAGGTGATGCTGGCGGTGGCATCGGTCTTGACGGAGCCTCCATGCGAATGCCCAGTGGCGAGAAAATCATGGACTCCCGGGTGAACATTTCTTGTTTTTTTTTTTTTTTTTTTTTTTTTTTTTTTTTTTTTTTTTTTTTTTTTTTTTTTTTTAAAGCGACTTTTATTGTCAAATAAACAAGGAGGGGTAGTACATAATAATGGTAATACAAAGATACATGAATGGATACTGTATAGTAAATACAAAGATAAATTAATGAGAAAGGCAATGTGTAAATTGAGAGAGAGTGTCAGGTTGAAGAGATTCTATAAGTCAGGGTCGCGCCGAAACTACCATTTGGTATACCATCGGCGGGGGGGGGGGGGGGGGTCTGGGAGTTCGGTGAGGAGAGCGACATTTGAGAGTTCTTTGTTCTGATGATGTTTTCAACGAAGGAAGATACATAGTTCCAGTTCATTTCTTGTTTGGGCGCTTTTTTCTTTAAAGCTGGCCGGTATTGAACGGGTGACGGAGCTGGTCGAGCCTGTCTTTTCTTAGGCTTCAATTTGGTCACGTGGCATGGCGCACGATTTTCCTTCGGAAGGGTGGTGAGCAAAATGGTCCGCCTTTGAGTTTTGACGGGAGCCACCTTTTGGGGTCGCGGAGGCACCCTTGTAGGGGCTTGCGATAGTTGGAGCGGTGTGGTCACTTCATAAATATCCGGTAAAGGCTCAGAAAATAGCTCCAAGTAGTCCGAATCGGAGTCGGACATCTGAAACTCAAACGAATAGAGATGTAGCACATTAATTTGGAGTTTGGATTGTAGCCGAGTGCTAGAAATAATGCAAAAATGTTTTTAAAAAAACACTTACATTTTATTAACAATTTTATACCGAAGCTTTTCGAAGCGAACGCTTCATCATCAGTGTCACAAAATCAATATCACAAAGACCATAATTTAAATTTCAAAGAAGGTAATATATTTCATTGATGGTAACAATTGATAACACATTAATTTAGAAATTATCGTTGTAAAGACTGGTAGGAAGAGAGATAGGGGTAGCGGAAAGTAAGATAGCGAAGGAAGAGAAAGAAATAAGAGAGATGTTACTTTTTTTACTGTGTGGGAAGCGGGTGCAGCTTTACCACTGGCCGTTTTAGAGACACAGATGACATTTTTACTGTGGCAGCGCGTACAATGCCATCTGGGCCCGGATGGACTTCCGTGATGAGGCCTATGGGCCATTTCAGGGGCGGTGCGTTGTCTTGCTACGCTCCAAATTTTGGCAATGCAGCCATTTGTGGGCTCTAATTTTTTGGGTTTAATTTGAAGCACGTGTTGCAATTTTGAATTATGTTGCGAATACAACTGCGTAAGCCCTGATGATAAGCCTATTGACTGTTGATTCATAAGTAAAAGTTTGCGAGAAAATTGATGGTGCCTCTGGTTTTCTCTGAAATAAAAGAGCAACTTAATTTGGGGCAAAGGCTACAAATAAAGAACAAATGAAATCTGAACAAATCAAATTTTTCTCTGAAATCAACTCCCAAGCTCAAGAAAAGCTTTCAACTTGAGGCCAAAATGGAGGGGATATTTCACACTATCCTGAGAGTCCACGCCTACATCAAGACAAACTCTCCACGCAAAGATAGGGAGCAAATACATTGACAGGGCTGCCACTTTATTTGGGGACTCTAAAACTGAAACACGACAACCCTGCTAATGTATCTGCTCCCTATTTTTGCATGGAGAGTTTGACTTGATGTAGAGGTGGACTTTCAGGATAGCGTGGGATATCCCCTCCATTTTGGCCTCAACTTCAGAGCTTTTTTGAGCTTGGGAGTTGATTTCTGGAAAACCAGTGACACCATCGTGTTTCTCGCGAACTTTTAAATAAGAACCAACAGTCAAAATGCACATTCCTCACACATGCAACATCTCCATTTTGGGGATTCAACAATTCCTTATGGAAAATTATAAGGGAGCAGCAGTCATCACTCTTTTTTCGGCTGTTGGCATCTTGCCGAAATGCATTCAGGAAAGTAAGCAGATAATTTTTTAACATTATGTGCCAACAACAACATTTTATACACATAAAACATTTTTTTTACATTTTACATTTTTCAAATGCAACATTTTTTACTATATTTATGCTCCGACAAACAAGGAGAGGAGGTGGGATTGTAATATTTGTGCAAAAAAATCGCAAATTCCTCACACATGCATAATCTCCATTGATTGATTCACTGCTCGTGTTGAAACTCAGGAAAAGGCACATCCAACAGCTTCAACAACTTCGGAACCGGGAAACAGAACTTCCACGGCGCGACTTTCAGCATCGGCGGTCACGACGGCGATGATGGACAGGACTTCAGCGGAGCCGCCATCGGCTCGATCGGCTCCATCAACGTCGGCAACAACGTCAACAACGGCGGCATCAGCATAAGTGACATCGGTTCGGCTAATTCCATCAACGTCGGTGGCAATCGCAACGTCAACGGTATCCAGACCAACGGAGGTATCAGCATCGGTAACATCGGCTCGGACGGCATCAGCATCGATCACATCGGCGCGGATGGCATCAGCATTGGTAACATCGGCTCGGACGGCATCAGCATCAACGGAGGCCACATCGTCATCGGCGGCAACATCAATGACGGGATCAGTAATATGATTTTCGGGAACAACTACATTCAGATCGACTCGAATGGTGGTGTCATCATCCACGTCATCGATTCTGGGAACTATGGTCTCAACATGATAAATAACCAGGTATGTTCCCGCCGAGATACATGAAACTATGCGCCATGCGACGTTTCAACATTTTCGCCGCCGTTTATTTTTTTACGGGGGAGTTGTTTAACGATACTAGAGAATATAAAATAAACAAACCCATACTAGAGAATATAAAATAAACAAACCCAATAAAATTACTAACCAAATATTAACATATATGTGATTTATAAAGAACTTAAACTTAATGAGTAAAATAATATTTATAACCCAAAACGCTAAAATATTAAAAACTACAGAAAAAGGAATAGTAACCAACCAAGTAAGTTTATTAATTAATTTTATTTATAAAAGAACACACCTGCTATTTAAAACAAACCAAATTCATTTGAAGACTGCAATTTTAATCATAATTATTTTTATAATAATTTTTATTTGTTTTAATAGCTTAAATTTATAAAGCGTAATACTGAAGCTATTAGGTACCGTTCTTGGTGTCGCTGATGATAGGAAAGTTAGCGAAAAACCTTACTGGTGGGACGAAGAAATTGAGAAGGAGATTCAGGAGAAACGGAAAAAATATCATCAGTTCCTTTCCTCTAAAAAAACAGAAGACAAAGAGGCGTATAAAAAAGCTCAGACGCAGGTACGAAGGCTCATAACCAAGAAAAAGAACGAATCTTGGGAGAGGAGCTGTAACAAAATAGACACGTACATAGGAGGAAGGAAAAGCACTGAGAGCTGGAAGTT